TTCGTCTCATTTCAACCATTTTTACAAAAAGACTATCAGTAGCCACGTTTGGACCTACAAAACGATACAAACGATTTCTCGATAAAATAGGGTGTGGCTGGTCACGTGATGCAGTTATAAACAATTTTTAAAATGAAATTTGAAGATTTCTTAGTCATGATTAGCCTTAATTTATTAGAGCTGGGATATCTTAAAAAACTTTACAATAGACCTCCCCCCTTTAAAATTCTGAGGAATCTGTAAAGAACCAGGCCTTAATCTACTTGAGTTGTCGTATGTTTATTTAACCTGTGGAGTATAGAGTGGTTTTCGTTTGAGTGTCGTAAAACCAAAACCAAAGTAATTACTCTGGCCAATCACATAGGACACAGACAAGACATTGAACCAATCAAAACTCGAAGTAATTACATGTGGCTGACGCAAAGCGCGGGAAAATGCATGCGAGCGCGTCACAATTGGCTTTGGTTTTACTTCCGATTGGATGAAAAGGTGGCGCGAATCTTTTAAGCCAATTGCATCGTGTAGAAAGTGCAAAACCAATTACTTTTCGACACTCAAATGAAAACCGCTCTATGACACAAAGACATTATTGACATTGCTTCCAGTCATTCTGATTTGGTTCAGTTGCACTTGATAAACGTTGCCTCACAAATTAAGTAAAGGCAATGCTTAGTATAGTAAAAATGTTTCATTTCAAAGTGACCCTGTTGTACATGTCATTTGAATGTTTTGCAAATCCCCAGGCAATTTTTTACCTTTTTTTCCTTAACTTTCCTTTTTTCCAAACCCGTGGCAAATTTATTATTTAATATTCCATTTATTAAAATGTATCCAAGCATACACCTGCCTGTCGATAATGTTTCAGGAGTATGATAGCAGCTTATCTAAGCAGCTTAAGGCCTTTACTCTGAGTTTGTAACAATTAATTATAATGAGAATAACTGTAGTTTGTGGCTCAAAGACTTCTCATAAGTACGACATCAAAGCGAACCTTGAAGCAGTGTAGGGTATAGGAGACCTATCGTATGGAATTCAATCCCCAAAGACATTACCTACTCCCAAAAGTTTTTTAAAGAAAGGCGGAACGCCTTAAGAATATTGAACTAAATACAATAATTATTCATAAAAAGGCCTGCTTTTAATTAAATCAAAATAACCTGCCTTTTTTATATTTCTGTACTTTTTCATATCCATCTTGTTTTAGATTATATTTGTTTCAATCGTCATGGCTGAAATTTTTGAATAGGTTTTAAGGATTTACATTGGCCCTTCACGGCATGTCCACAACAGCTCTCGGGTTGCCGCAGACAGACTTGTCTTTTCAAAGGAATGTGTATGTACTAACAATTTTCAATGTTTTATGCGAGAATTAAAAGAAATAATGGGTGTTTACCTTGCTTTTAAGCTTGATGGAAGAATACTTTTGTAAATAAAAATACCGTTGCCGACACTAAACTCCTCTGTAAACGTCCTCGAAACTGTTCCCTGTTAGCCGGGCAGAATCTCCTTTTCCATATTATACGAGAAGCGTTCTGCTTTGAAGTGTTGAGCATGCGTCAGCTTTACTAAGCTACCAATTAAGCACTCGGAATTCCAGATGACATTTTAAGGATACATTAATATAGAATGGAAAGTGCACGCATAGCGTAATTACAAAAGGATTATTCCCCTATAATAGATCAAAGGAGCAACGAACGAAAGAGATTTCTGAAACAAAGCAACAGGGATCGAGCTAAATGGATATTGGGGTGGGTTATTTGAGAGATTACGGCGTCCCTTTTTATAGAGGTTTTTACAATTATACTTAGAAGGGCTTTTTCTTCAGATTTGTCAACCGTTCATCCACATCGCACCTTTACGATATAAAGCATATTTTGCCAAATTTTTTGTTCTTCTGAGGAGTCAAAACGCTTTTTAAATTTGTTTCACAACACAATGTGTGGCGATATTTTCCGCCTAAGACTGATTCTGCTTAATTTCTACCTGACAAATACATCGTAATACCTCAGACTTGGCAAAGAGTCGCACTGCTAGAAGATATGCAAGGAGTCATTCCGGGGCTTTGTGGGAATACGGGTGTGGTATATTCCCCGTGGTGTCACCAGCAAGGCTTGCTGCAGGCCAGGTCAGTGCGCTATGATGGTTGGTCACGTGATCTCGGTTACATCACCGAAACCGTCACTTCCACACCTACCTCTCGATTTATTTCTTACCGATCACTAACACTGCCCTAGATAAGGATACTATCAGGTTTATCGCCCTACGGCTTGGTCGGCATATCTTATAGTACTTGTTGTACTAGTGTTCAAATCAGGGCTCCTCATATTCATACACATGAAAGACACAACAACATAAGCATGTACACGGCAGGTACCGTTTATACGTCTTTTGTTCTCCCTATTCTTGATTACTGCGATACTGTGTGGAGCTGCTACGGGAATTAACTCTGCAATAAACTGGAGAAGTTGCAGAGGCGCGCAGCACGTTTCTTTATGCGTCTGGGGAGCAGCGAAAAAGCGCTAAATTTCTTAGGTTACGTAGCTCTGGAGAAAAGACGCAAGAGCCATGTACACAATCTAGTTAAGAAATGCTTAAGCAACCCGTTGTCCACAGTTCTTTATGCACTATTTTAATTATAACAAGGATCTATTGCCCAGAAGAACAAGGAACAGTGGTAAACTTAGACTCCCGTGTATAAAGTTAGAATGTACGAAAAAAGCGGCTTTTTTATCACGGGTGTGTAAGTATTAATCAGATTTAGATTTTTAGTTTTTTATGATTTTTCTAGTAATTTAATTTTTAAGACTTTTATATACCATTTATAGCTATTTTTCGTTGTACTTAACGATGACTATTATTTCTATTCCATTAAGTTTATTATATAGGTTCTCTATCTCCAGCAAGTTAAGGCATGGGTTGAAAGGATTAAAAGACCCCTCACAGAGAAGGCAAAGATTTTTTTTTGATGACGCAGAGGGATCCACATATATCTCACTAAAATAGTTTTGAAAAATTAATCCCAAGCATCACGTGACACTCCTTGGACCATGACGTCACAAAACCTGTTTTCTCAAACGGGGCAAGGTAGTTAAACTTCAACCTAAATATACTTGTCATCATGTTGTCAGCCAAACTGTCTGGATTGTCAATTAGCCTTACAAGGTGGATTAAACCATGTTTATAAAGAGATATTAAAGTCTTTTATAAGTCACATGAATTGTTTTTCTTTATTTCGTAATCCTTGCTTCACTTAGGCATACATGTAGGGCTATTTCATATAAATGGCCAGGCCATGGGAAAAACACTGGTGCCTAAGAATATTTGCGGCTCGTTCATTTCCTTTTCCCGTTTTAATTTGAACACTTTGATCATTAACGATCATCTGCAGGTCACGTGACTAATATTTCAACAATAAATATGTCACATATTGTTAAGGCCACCGAGCTATAATTGTTTGCCAAGTTTCATGACGACTGATCAAAAGAATCCGTTTCACATGCCATTTCGCCAAATTATGCAAATTATGAGTTGACCCATGCCTTGACATGGCTGTGATGGATAGCAGTTTTTATCTTGTACAAAAACTGAAGGAGTTACCCTATTGAAATAATTAAAGGTTTCTATCTATATCTATACACAGGAGAGAGTAACTCCCATGCTAAGCCTAAGCAACAGGCTTTTTCACATATCAGTTCATTTTTTAATAGCCGCTTCATTCTGGAGAACTTTTCCTTGCAAAAATCAAGCAACTCTTCGTATCTGTACTCATCTGTAACAGAGCTTCGCACGGAACAAACTTTACGCTGTAGTTAGAAATCATGCATCTGCACGCGCAACTGAGTAAGTTGTATGCTAACAGATAACCAACTAGCCCGAGTTTTTCAAACGTTGTAAGTTGTATGCTAACAGATAACCAACTAGCCCGAGTTTTTCAAACGTTGGATAGCGCTACCCACCAGATAAATCACTAGCCAGCAGATAACTATTAGGGAAACAAATTGCGCTTTTCAGGGGATAGAAATTTATCCAGCGGATAGCGTTATCCAGCTTTTGAACTACTGGGGCCTAATCTGTAGGTTGAGCTGATTTCCAAAATTAACTGTAAGTTATAAGCCAATGAGAAGACGTATAATGAATACAATGTATAATAGTGAAGGTAACAGGTGCCAATTGATAAATGGGCACGTACACGACGCCCAGGACAAATAGTTCGACAGGTGTAAGTGCAAATACACCTTTGATCAAATAAGGTATATTAAATTTAAGACTTACAAACGTTATTAGCGGACTTAATCACTTTAGTTATCATCACAAGACGAAAATTTTTTTCTCCGACAAAACTTACAATACCTACCGCAGGATTCACGACTCCTTTTTTTCTCTTCGGACTTAGAACCTGCGATTTTATTCGATTATAAAAATCTGAAAATTGTTTCCAATTTAAGGGACAGCAACTCTTTTGCGTTTAAAAAAAACTGCATAAAATACATGTGTACGCTCGCAAACTAATTTTTTTCAAAAATTCAGATGAGTGTTCAGTAAGCGTTCATGATTCCCTTTGCTGAGGCTGGAACTTTTCCACTGAGCCGTTTTAACCGGTATTGGTCTTAGTTGTTTATTTTACACTAATAACAAAAAAAGGAACTACAAGTTATAACGTTGCTTTAATTAATGTTAGAACAATCACCTTTCCTCCTTTTTGCAGTTTGCCATTAAATTCTTGCTCGATCTTTCAAACATTTCATACAATAGATGGCTTTCTTTTCTCATATTAACTTTCAAAAGTTTTTTGTTTTCCATTCACTTCAGCAACGCTAGCTAAATCAGTTAGTTGCGACCTTTCGTGATTCGCTTCCTTTAGAATGTTCCTTTAAAATGTTTGTGTTCGCAACACGAACATTTTACAAGAATTTATGAAATACACTTCTAACTTCGACTAACATGGCTCTTGGTGTCGTACCATTATACCGATAGATATATTCACCAACTGAGGCCGGAGATTAAACGCAGGGCAAGTGTTGGATAAGCGCTGCCCTGATATCTCGGAGACGCCAACAATATATAAATGGATTCAAGGCAGAATTGGCATAAAGTATGGTTCTTAACAGTTCAAAAATAAGTCTGTTTGTGGTAGTTGTTCCTTGAACCAAGATTACACTGGAGATGCAAAGATACGGAATGTAGCAAAGCAGCAAGAGAATGTAAACCATGAACATACCCATCACTGATTGTCTGTACTTTTTCGAGGTAAGCGGTTCTTCATTCGTCGCCTCTTTTAAAGAGTTTGGTTGTTGTGATCGGATTTGAAGATGGTGATGACGCAAAACGATATAAACGCGACAAAAGCAAAACGTGGTGATGGCGATACAGCATAATCCAAGAGCCACTCCTATGATAAAGCTGAGGGATGGGTACCATAGCCATGTTACAATAACAAGAGCCAAGACTAGCCATGTACAAACGAGCAGGGTTATAACGCGCTTGTTAGTGACAAGTTGTTTATACCTCAGGTGCAGATACAACGCCAGATATCGGTCAATACTCACCGCCGTGATGCTAAATAGCGAAACGCTACATAAGTAAGTACCAAGTAGGGCTACGGCTACACCAAAGCCGCACGCCATGCTGATAATTCCCCGTATTTTGGCCACGGAGTAGATAACGACGAGAGGTTGAGCAACCAGCCCTACCCCAAGGTCTGACAACACAAGGCAAAATAACAAAACGTAAGAAGGTGTGTGAAGCGTGGATGTCCTCCAGATGGCTATCAGAATAAGCAGATTCTCAACAGTAGCAGCCATAGCTAACACGATGTTGAATACGCAGTTAGCAATGTACCATCCAAGATAACCATCGGTTGCAAAATAATTGCTGTCCATGTTGTAACAAACAATTTCAGCGTTTTCTCCTGGACGAGATTTATTTCCAGCCGAGGCGTTCGAGTCTAGGAAAGATTCCATTTTTTTATACCCAGGACCACGACGCAATTAAAACGCAAAATGAAAACTTATTTGACTGGTTGAGCTTGCGTAAGGTTATCTCCTACACTTTTCTTGTCACAAAATTGTCATGTTGTCCGTGATTGTTTACCGAAGAGATATAGATTGTATACACCTCACCAATATACCAATATTACAGATATAGCCTGCCGATATGCATTTGTACTGCACTGTACCCTTTGTAATGAAGTGACATTCAGGACGAAGTTTTTCTTTATCAGTCTCATCGCCTTGTTGAAAATCTGCAAAAAAGCAGTCTATTCAAGTAGAATTCAAGTGACCATCCCTTGACTAAACATTTTTTGTCAATCAATGAAATTCTTATTTTAAGAAGATAAGAAAGACGTTTAAAAACGTCTTTTTATCAGCAGACTGACCATATCGACTCCAGTTAGTTTTCTTTCCACGCGAAATTTTTATTACTGACAACACACTAGCTAAATATCAACTGTGTTTCATACAATTACGGGATAAAAGTTATGTTGTGGTTCAGTTTTTTGTTTTTGTTTGCCTAGGACTCATTTTCATACTTGCCCACAATGACAGGTAGCAAAGGCAAATGAAAATTAATCCAAGTATAAAATTAAATCCAACTAGGTTTGCCGGAAAGCTGAGAGAGCGAATTTACGATCGTCGCCTCAAAATAGAGCATTGACAAATGGTTTTTACAAAACTACAAAAAATGCACACACGATAACTTCTAATAACATAAAAATCCCAGTGGGCTTTTCGGAAAAGGTATCCGCAGCTTAACCAGTAGCCCAACAACTTTTTCAAACGTTCGCAAATCGATCTAGTTTCTTTTGACCGTTTTTAAATTCCTTTTTCTTCAGTCCATAATATTCCACCCCGATTTTTGAAACGCCTCTTGAATCTTGTTTCAGGTTGTTTTGCTTTTCATCAAACTAATTTATCCATGGTGTTTTCTGCCTGTTTCATATTATCAAAAGTCATCCTTGGCTAGCACGGAGGCTGAGGGAAATAAAACAAAAGAATCGAAATTAATTATTAATCACTGCGTCTCAATAGGTTTTCTTTAATTTATCTTATACCACTAGATTCGGTGCTAAGTATGAGTTTAAATAAAAAAAAAGAAAATTTACAGACTTTTGTATAGCCTTCAGCTCATAGTTAATAGAGGGAATGGTTATGAAACCCGACAAAGTTCTTTGTTGTATGTTTTTGTTCTCTTTTTTGGCCTTGACCCTGCACAAAACACAACAGTTGTTTACTCCGTACTGAGGAACTAACCGGGTAGTACTTGGTGTAAGACTGCCCAAAATGTCCCGGGCCACCGCCCATACTGTTAGTACTGTAGTAGTACCTATGGTACCCGCAGGAGCTGTGTAGTAGCTGTAGTAGCTGTAGTACGTGTAGTACCTGTAGTACCTGTAGTAGCTGTAGTACCTGTAGTAGCTGTAGTAGGTGTAGTAGCTGTAGTAGGTGTAGTAGCTGTAGTAGGTGTAGTACCTGTAGTAGGTGTAGTAGCTGTAGTACGTGTAGTACCTGTAGTAGGTGTAGTAGCTGTAGTACCTGTAGTAGTTGTAGTAGCTGTAGTACCTGTAGTAGCTGTAGTAGCTGTAGTAGCTGTAGTACCTGTAGTACCTGTAGTACCTGTAGTACCTGTAGTACCTGTAGTAGCTGTAGTACCTGTAGTAGCTGTAGTACCTGTAGTAGCTGTAGTACCTGTAGTACCTGTAGTACGTGTAGTAGCTGTAGTACGTGTAGTAGCTGTAGTACGTGTAGTACTTGTAGTAGGTGTAGTACCTGTAGCAGGTGTAGTACCTGTAGCAGGTGTAGTAGCTGTAGTAGCTGTAGTATCTGTAGTAGGTGTAGTAGCTGTAGTAGCTGTAGTAGGTGTAGTACCTGTAGTACCTGTAGTATCTGTAGTACGTGTAGTAGGTGTAGTAGCTGTAGTAGGTTTAATAGGTGTAGTACCCGTAGTACCTGTAGTATCTGTAGCAGTTGTAGTAGCTGTGGTATCTGGAGTAGCTGTAGCAGCCTTAGTAGGGGCGTCCAGTGGTGTAAGGAATTGTAAAGATTCCTTTCTACCTTCCAGCAAATTTTCCAAGCATTTATATCGACTAGTCTCACTTTAGTCAATCGACCAAACTTGGATAATTATTAGGCGTAAGGCAGTGAAACCGAGTCCATACTCAAAGGGATTGATATAAACTAATGGGCGAGAGAATATATAGAATATAAACGTAGGTATGTGAGTCCTGAATGGAACCTTCTACAAAGTACAAAAGACGATTTGCACAAGCTTATGAAAGGAACATCAAGGTTCACACACATTTGATGAAGTTAGTGATATATAGGAATATTTTCTAGCTTTTATATTTTTACGCGGCCTATCTTGTTCTTACGACTGTGGTGTCCCATGCTCAATTGCACAAAATTGACCCGGCGAGGCTACCAGGGGCACCCAAAGACAATTTTCTGCTAAATATCTGTTCGGAGAAGCAAATATTGCCAAGAATTTTCTTTTGCTTGAGGAAGACTAAAAATTCCTAGATGGACCTTCCATTCATTTACAATTTTCGATGCTTTATACCTAATAAATTCCCTACGAATTCTGATTTTTAATGTTTCAAAATCAGTTCCCAGGTTACAATATTTTTCTTAAAAAATGGTCACCTAAAGTTTTTTTGGATTCTAAAATGTGATGGGGAGTGGTAACCAGAAAAATCCTCACTTGCGTAAATCGTTAAATTGCAACTAAAATTTTCGCAAAAGTAACACTGAAGCCTTTGTAATTGTGAAAACTGACTTAAGTTCCTCTAGGATGACCGGTCAGACCGGGAGGGCTTTCCATAAGTTGCTCGAGATTTTCCAAAAAGTTTCACATTATTTCTCAAACAAATGCTCAAAAGTTGCCAAAAACAATCAAAAGTTGCTTATTGCAACAAAACTTACTCAAAAGGTTGCTCGAAAAACAAAATCTTTGTTTGGTCTGAAGTTATGAAAATATGCAAATTGTACAAACAAAAGTAAGATTTCTTAGCATTTTCGTGCAATTTTTTCAGCGCAACCAGCGTTGCTTAATAACTTTGTCCGGAGTTAAAATCACGAAAGAAATGTAATGAGCCAAAAAATTCCTTAATGACTTTCTTCACCCGAGACACTCGAGTCAGTCGAGTGAGAATCTGCGTCAATCATTTAAAATTTTCTGTAAAAACGGCTGACTTATCTTGCGCCCTTAATGTGCCTCAGGGGAGGAGTATTTGTCTCCTTTTTTTATTGGTAATTCGCAAATTGTCTACAAAACATTGTGAAATATGGAACAAAGGCTAATTTAAACACTAAGAGCTGCTCCGATATCACAGAATTAGATGATAAAGTTCTAGAGAAATCTTAATCAAAAAGCCAATAGTTGCAATAAAGGAATGAAGTTGTTCCAAATACGAGAAGTTGCCAAAAAGTTGCCTGCTTGTGGAAATCTCTAAAGACCTAAACGATAACAATTTTGTAGTGCCGCTTAGGATGCATTTCTAGGGTGCAGAAAAGAAAACTCTGGACAGCGTAAAAAGTGTTTCCAACGTACTTTAAAGGAGACAGTCGTTGGGTGCCCCTGAGGCTTTAACCCTTTACTATGTGACATCACGGCACTGGAAAGCGAGTCCGGAAACGTAGTTGGAAAACGATATATTCACCTTCCCCACCCCCTTCTCGCGATTTTAAGACGACCGAGTGTGACTGACTGGAAAAAGCCAACAGAGAGACTTGTATTCAAATGTAAAAAACTTTTATTGCCATATCATCGATAACAAGAGCTAATGATAACTAATGATCAGATACTTTTCTTAAAAATTGAAATTATTCTTATTGAAGTCTCTACCTAAGTAATGGGAAACTCATAAGTTTCTCGAGCTAACCGCTGCTCTATTTAAATCACTTTTCCCTGTCTATATCAAAGCCTTTGATCCTTAGGTATATTATGGTACAACTGTATCTATTGGTTGAGATTTGAGGCACTTTCGGGCTATAAAGTTCAGCTATTCCACACTTGGTAGTATTGTTCGGCTAGAGTGGTGTACTATGTTGAAAGACAAGCCCTGTTGGTGGGTTCCCTAGTATTAACATGCGCAAGGATGTAGTTCAATAGGGTCCAGTGGTGCCTAACCCTGACCTAAAAGAATGACATGTCTTTGTTTCCCGCAACCAATTATGAAAGACCTTCCGAGCAGCTCCTACAATACTCGTTCATGACATCACCCATTATAATAACCAGTTAAAAAAGTAAGTTCCTGCAAAGAAAATAAGTGAGTTCCTCCATATCTAGTGGGCGTCTCTCTTATACAATAGGAATATTGGCTTGCCCGCTCTATACCCACCTGATTGACTCATGTAGAGACTATTACGTGTTCAAACTGAAGGCGAGCTCTCCATTCAACAAGTTTAATAGAGCGCTACACCTCTGTTAGCGATTGATGAAGTAGAGAAAGTCCAGCGCTGCGCTGCGACTGCCCTCTGAATTTTTTGCATTGCTTGTGTCTTGGGTGTCTGGTGATCTTATTACATTGCCTTCCGATACAGCCCAGATCTAGTTTCCAGTCCTGTTTTTGGGTGCTTGGCCACTATATTTCGCGTTATACTACGCATTACAAATGTTTTTACAGGCTTAATTACATCAATTCCGTCCAGTGAATGCCTTTAGTTGTAAAAAATGTCCAAGTTTGAAAAGATAATGGTGTCATCGGAAAACTGTTATAAGCCACCTTAAATCGACAATGATAACTAATATAAAAGAGAAGGCCCTTCAGGCGTTTTCTAGTATTCGGAAGCAGACACGACAGTTCTTAATAAACTTAATCTTCATATCGCATCCCAAATTCTTGACACAATCATATTCACTGGATATCACCCATGTTAAGGGGTAAGGTAAGGGTAAGGTAAGGTAAGGGGGATGTGCACCGAGCAAGATTTTAAAAGTGGGATAGTTCCCCAATAGAAAAAAAAATTCACCTCAAATTCTTTAAACGTTATTTACAAGTAAACAATAAGGCCTCTAACATAGCTTGCCGAGCTGAACTTGGTAGATTGCCGCTGCTTATCCCGAGAAATCAAAACATTATGAACTATTTTGTTTATCGAACCACCAACGATAAGGACTCTATAGTCAAACAGTCTTTCCTTATGTCAAAGAATCTACATTCTATGAATAATTCCGGATATTATTGCAAATTCATAAACATGTTTGAACAATACAATCTCATCAGTTTAGATACAGAATCTTTAGATAATGATAAAATTGGACGATATACCACAGAAATGAGAGAGAAATATCCGGTATCTTTTTTGCGACACAGTCTTGAAAATTAAAAAAAATTTGAATTTTATAAAACTTTTAAAGATGAATATTCTACAACTGATTATCTCTACCAGGTAAGACATTATGATGAATGACAACATTTTGGTTAAGTTTAAAATAAGTAATCACAAACTTCTGATTGTACAAGGTCGATACCAAATAGATCATTTGTCAAGAGAA